ATATGAATATATATATATATATATATATATATATATATATATATATATATATATCAATATTTCTAATGAGTAATTTTTAATTAATAATTCCCCCCCCTTTCCCTCTTGGTGCATCTCAAGCTAATTCATTGAGGTCTCACAACCTCCTCAGACTTTCAGTCCACAATATGGTAGGAGGACCTTAATTAATATGAAAGGCCAATGGGAAAATTGAACCTAATTTAAAAATGAGTTCAACAATGGGTTTAAATTTAATGGCAATACCTGGGTACCTATGTTTTTAATAAGTTATAATTAATTAGATTTTCCATAACACCTTTACTTAATTAAATTAAGTTCATATCGATTGATTAATTAGAGTGTTTGCATTGCTTTTGCAATAGAAATACTTTTTTGCATTAAGTTTATTTAAATGTATGTGTTTTGCCTAGACATTTGATTGCTTTGTGATGGTGGGGGGGGGTATCCTTTTGTTTAGATTTATGGCTAGAAAAAGTAATGGATATTTAGTTTAATATTTTAGAAGTGTTTTGGCATTTTTGGGGGAAAGATAAGATGTTTGATGGGTAAAATAGAAGAAATCTTAAGACTAATCTAATTTGGGCTAATTTGGAAGTGAACTTTGCAGAATGGTCCTTATGTGAGATACATAATTGTTAATGTTAATGGAAGGTTAGCTTAGGATGTAAACTTGTGAGATGGAGTTTATGGTAGTCCTTGGAAGAGTTTAAGATGATGTTCAAGAGTAAGAAATAAGATTAGGCCCGAGTGTTACCTATTTTGTATAATAGAGATATGGATTTTCTTAGAAGTGTTTATAAATTTTAGTAACTACTTTATTGGGCTTAGAGGATTATTATGAAGTGGATTAAGTGTTTTGATTACTTTGAGAAGGTATCTAAGAGGATTTATGAGTTACATAAAAATAATAAAGATAACTACCTATTTTCACCCAAGAAAAGTCATAAACATGAAGCCATCAAGCACTAGGCAAATGAAGCATACTTCTCTAAAACATTATTTGATTTAAAGAACTAAAATTTATATAGAATTCTAGCCAATACTTATATGTATTATAAGACTCTAAGACAACCAATTTTAAGAGGAAAAATTGGTTGTAATTTTATTGCACTATGTAATGACACATTTAAATCTGTGAAATATAAATTATTGATATTAACCCTTGCAGATTTTTTAAGTATAACTCATGTATTGTGTATTTATTTTGAATTTTTTAAAAAAAGTATTATTTTAATTATTTTTTTATAAAAATACATAAAATGGTAAAAAATACATAGTATCGCATGTCACTGTGGCACCCGATGAAATAATTCCATTGCATCAAAATCAACTCTAATGTAGTCCCATTTTAGGACATTGCATTGCCATCCTCTATATTAGTGAGTCCTATAGTGGAATCAAATGTATCTTCACAATGTTAAGAACACTGCTGCATTGAACATTCAGCTTGGCACCATTAGGTTCTCTTGAAAATGAATGTTGCAGCACTAAAATTCAAATGCCTCAACATGAAAATTCCACATGGGTGACACAACACTCAGATTTTTTGAGCACTGTGGCATAGATATTACAACTTCATAGAGCCACAATTGACAACGAGGAAGGATGCATCTGTTCAATTAGTAGCCATTCCAAATTATCAAGCATCATAGCAGAGCAAACATATCAACATTGAGGTGCATGTTAAACTTTAAGTATCGTGTCACCACTCTATTAAGAACCATGGTGCTTGAGGCCATTCATTTTTTCTTATAAATAGATGTTAAGTTCAATTTGTATGGTAGTTTAGTCACTTGAGTAAAACATTGTACATTTCTAGTATACTTCTATAGAACCCTAGGGAAGTGTGAGATATAATCTATGGGAGTGTTTATCATTTATTTGTATAAATAACTCTGTAAGTGGAGGAATGAGTGCAGAGAAGATACTTTAATACTTCGTTGTGATAAAATTCCACTACTTCACTTATACTTTGATTATTCTATAAATATAATAAAAATAAGTTGAATGCAATTTCTTGTAAGTTTCTCTTATTTTTTATTAAAATTTAAAGAGCATATTGAGAACTAATGTAGACTCTTATACTCTATAAAACTTATGGATATTTTAATATATCCCATTTTCATTTAGTGCATGCAATGGCCATGTGTGTAGTTAAAACTTTGTGTGATGTATTGCCTTAATGGAGGAATGCATGAACAATCAGGATTTTTGAGATAGAATGTTAACATGCCTAGATATAAAATATTTAAATATTTAAGATTCAATATAAATATTAAAATTATAGAAGGTTAGTAGATATTATTTTCACCCCTATAAGATTTATAGATATCTATAGATGCATATGCTCTAATCTACTTTTCAAATTAAGAGTATCATTAGGAAACATAAGATATATACTTGCATAAATCCTAAACATTTTATTAAAATTGTGTCAACTATTTTACTTATTTTTATTCAATCTTATGAAATGAAAAAAAAAATCAATTTTACTTCATTGGGAAAACTTATACAATTAGAGTAAATAGTAATAGTTTTATTACAAGTAAGTATAACTCTTCCTCATCTTTACTTCATCACTTTATTACTTGATTCAGCATGTTTAATTATATATATTTAAGTAGGAGTTAATTATTAACCTATCAAAGAAAGCCTAATCATATTTAAATCTTGCATGTCACATTAAGTTAAGCTCAAATATAATCAATCTTAATAATCTACAAAAGCCCCACCACATCAAGTTTTTGGCATTGTTACCAGGGAAGTAAATTTCATATTATAAATTTAACTATATTATTGAAATAAGTGCATAATTAGACCTTATATTTTCTATCAAATTTTTCTCTTTTTATATGTTGTTATTATTAATTCATTAATTTTATGCTTTGTAAATCTAGATGGGAGCATTTGTTATTTGATTCTTAGATAGAAAGGACCCTTTCAAAAATTTTAAAAATTAATAGGATTTTAAATATACCTAACCCAGTGCTAGATCAGGATCATTTTAGACCTCCAAGAGAGAATGCTAACCCCTTAGTAGATAAAATCTAACATTGTATTCGTAGACCAACGATCCAAGCTAATTATTTTGAATTAACATGCCAAAATTTAGATTGTTCAAAATTTTTATTTTGAGGGTACTCTTGTTGAATATTCCAATTCACAATTAGCAAATTAACTTAATCATCAATATAATATTTAAGCATAATGGTGTCAGTGATGATGATATTAGGCATAGAATGTTTCCATTTTCTTTACTAAGATGTCGTTGAATTTTTTACACCAGGCCTTATAACCTCTTAGAATAAGTTGGTTCACAAATTTCTAGCTAAGCATTTCCCACCTTCAAAAACTATCAAACTTTTAAATTATATCTCATATTTTGCAAAGTTTGGAGAAGAATCAAATTATGAAACTTAGGAGAGATTTAAGAAAATGAATAAGAAATGCCCTCACCATGACTTACATTATGGGTTGGTTATTTAGACCTATTATAATGGATTGGTTGGATATCTAATTTTAATTATATATACTGGAGCTTAAGGATCATTAATGTCTAAGCAAATTGAGGGAGCATATACGCTAATAATTGAAATGGCTACAAATAATTTTTAGTTCCTTGTCGAAAGGATAAGTCCTAAGAGAATAGCTAGAGTCTATGAATTGTAAATTTAGGATCATGATTTGGATCATCTATGCAATTGGAAGATTAGTATTTGAATTATAATAAATATTATAATGTGTAAGGGATTAAAATGTGAATTTAATCAAAAGATAAAATAATCCCTTCTCGAATACTTGGAATTTAAGTAGCAAAAAAAACATCTTTATTTTAATTTGTCTAATAATAATATTTGTGGTAAAATCCAATAGAATTTTGGTCAAAATAAATAATATGGAAATTCGAATAATCCTTAAAAACCTATTCTTAATCTTACACCTTCTAATCTTCTTGGATTTAATAAAAAATAATCAGTTTGGAAATAGAAATCCACCTTTGAAATAAGTTGTGATTCGGTTAGGAACTTAATTGCAAAGTCAAGATGCTTCTATTAAAAAATTAGAAGCTCAAATAGGACAGCTTACAATCTCATTTAGTACTAAAGCTCTTAGATCATTTCCAAGTAATAGTGAATTTAATCGAAAAGAGAAAGGTGAAGATCCTAGTGGCAACCACTTGAGTAGTGTAGTAATATACCCAAGGAAATTGATAAATCTAGACAAATTTGGATGAAGACTATACACTTAGAGTTGTTTGGGAGGAAACCCATCTTTTTATTCCTGTGTGCTTATTCAATTATTATAGTTTTCTTTTTTTTTTTTTTAGTTTTCATATTTTTTTATCATATTTTATTATTTTAGAAATGATTTGTATTTATTATACTTTTGTATTTAATATTGATAATTGTTATGTTTTAATTCTTGTGAAAAATTGATGTGCTAAAAATTAACCTAGGACCATAGTGCTAGGTATTGAAGTACCTCAGCATTCACATTTCAAGCACTACAGAATGAAAAACTTATGTTGTAATGCTAAACTCTCATGAAAAATAATCATTTGAACCACCACAGTATTTGTACTCATTTAATGCCACACCACAAAACATTTATGTACTGTGGTGTCGGGCCTTGAAAGTCAAAAGGCAATTTTGCTTGTTTAAAAAGTAATTGTACAATCATAAGATTTATATTATAACACTTTGGTGAGCATCATGATGTCATTACAAGTGCTATGGTATTGTTACATGTTCAATATTAGTTTAGTTAAGGCGCTATGGTAACCATATACTTTAAGCACCAGAGTGCTTACTTTTGTCAACCACTCTGGCAGTTACCTATGTTAAACTAACGCTTTAATTCCCAACATTAAGCTCTTCTGTACCATGTGTCCTACACCACTACATATGTCAATTATACTATTTTGTCATTTTTATAGACTTTAGTGGCACAACACTGATGCTATCAGTGCCGTAGCACTTTAACTTTCTATAATTTGAGTTGTAGTTCTTCAGTAAATTGTAGCATTTCCAATCCTTTCACTTCCTTCCCCTCTAATTGAAAAATTGGGGCACCCCTCACTTTTTTATGCTTTATGTGTTAACGCTGGTGTATACTTATGATATTTAAATTTTAACTACAAACACATTTAATTATTAAGCTACCATATTCATTTTAAGATTCAATAGTCAATGTTTATATTCATAGCATATAAATTCAAAATAAGTAATGGGAAGGGTAATAGAATAGGATAATTGTTAAGGACATTTTAAACTAAAATTATAACTTTGTTCATTTGAAATTACTTCTAGATTTTGATGTATTATATAACATTTTAGTAATTTTAATTTATAAACTTTTGCTTTGGTTATTAAATTAATTAGAAGTGAACTTTGTTAAATTGCTTATGGATAAGTAAGAGTTTAAGTTGGCAAGAATTAATTATGTTTAAATTATGTATTACATTTGAATATATATATATATATATATATATATATTATATTCAAAAATGGAAAAATATATAAAAAGTATTACGTAGTGGCACGCCACCAGATGAAATAATGCCAATGTGTTAAAATAAATTATGCCGAAGAAACATATTAGGACATTACAGTGAAATCCTCTCTATTTGTGTCCGCTACACTGGCATTACATATAGATCTACTATATTAAGAGCATTTTTGCATCAAACATTCATTTTTGGCAATGCCAGGTTCTTGAAAAAATGTATGTCATTGTGCTACAATTCAAATGGCTCGGCATCGAAAACTCCACATGGGGACCGCAACGCTCAGATTTCAGGAGCACCACAGCATAGCAATAAAAACTTGCAATAGCCATGACCGACATACTGAAAGGATGCTTCTATTTAATTAGAATCCATTCCACATTATCAAGCACCGTAGTGGAGCAAACTAGTAAGTGTTCTGGCACTACTTCAAATTTAAATGTCATGGCACCACCTTGTCAAGTGCCATGATGCTTGAAGCCATTTTTATGTTTTACTATAAATAAATGTTAAGTTCTAAATGTAAATAATTTTAGTCACTTTATTAAAATTTAGTACATTTATATTGTACTTATCTAATACCCTCTTAGAGTAAAATCTAAGAGAGATAAGGCATGCACAAGATACAATCTCTAGTAAAGTTTAGCCTATGCTTGTATAAGCCACTCTGTAAGTGATGGAAGGAGTGTAGATAAGACACTTTGATCCTTCTTGATGATAAATTCTATTACTTCTCTTCTACTTTGATTTTTTTTTATGAATATAATAAAAATGAGTTTGCTTGTTATTTATTCTATGTTTGGCTAGATCTCTGATTTTGGATTGATAATGTAAAGAACATATTAAGTACTAATATAGACTCTTGTACTCTAAAGAATTAATGGATGTTTTCAATATATTATGTTCTTTATTTACTATAAATAATTGGAATAAGTGTAGTTAAAACTTTATGTGATGTATAGCCTTGATGGAAGAATGTAAGAACAATCAAGAGTATTGAGATCGAATGTTGGTATGTGTAATAGTTGGATGTTTGAATATTCCAGATTATTCAAAGATATTAAAACTATAGGAGTTTAGCATATATCATTTTCACCCCAATAAGCTCAATATAGATTTAGGGATGCAAATACTCTGATCCATATCTAAAGTTAAAAATATTATTAGAAAAATATGATATTAACATGCATCAATCAAAAATATTTTATTAAAATTGTATCAACTAATTAAATTATTTATAATCAATGGTAGGTACTAAAAAATATCATTTTATTTTAGTTGAGTAACATATACAATTAGAGTAAACAGTTGTAATTTTATTATAAAAAAACATAACTCTGTTGCAACTTAATTTTCAAAACTTTGCTTTTATATCATCTATGTTTTTTATGATACTAAAATATTATTGTGTTGATTACTGTTTCTCTTAACACACAATGGAAAAATTATGCTTATGTTGTTTGTATGTACTAATGTTTCAGAGAAATCATACATTAGACTATCAAAGACTTCAACATAGATTAGATTAGGGTTTCTTGTAATTGAAGTTTGTAACTTTTTTATTTTCTTGAGTATGAAAGAGTGTTATTGTAATTGGGTAACCGTGCACAAACACATCAGGGGAATGAGTTAAAACTTGTATTTTTAAACTAATCATATTGTATGATTCTTGAATCATACTGGATGATTTGACCTGAGTGTTCCTTTAGAAAGAAGTTAATCGAAACATGCCTTGGAAATTTATTTTTAATTGTTCGTACGATACGAAGTAAGATTTATAAAGACAATGTCTAGAGTACAAAATTGATACGTACTAATTCATCTTGAATGAGCTTAACATTTTTTGAATTGATTGTACTGTATGAAATTAGTTTCATACAGATGATGTCGATAAAATGAAATGGATGCATAGTAGTTCATCCCATACAAACTGGTAAATTTATTGAATTGTTCATATACTATAGAACTAGTTTCATACATACGATGTCTAGAGTATGAAATGGGATAATCCATGTTCATACCATACGAAGCATGTTTTGAATTAACAAGCTTATATTGTATGATGTAGGGTTCATATAGATGTTGACCAGAGTACGAAATGGACTTGTACAAAAACTTACCAGACAAATCTGTTTAATTTTAAACTATTTGTATAGTATGATGCCTTTCATACATTTTGCTGACAAAGTATAAAATCAATTTGTCCAGGATTATATAAGGATTTTTTGTATTGTTCATAGATACGAAATACGATCGTACTGTGCGATCCAATTTTTCCTATTTTAAATTTTTAGTTTTCTGGATGGTTTTTCTTATTCTTTCTAGATAAGGGTCCTAAAAACTAACTATAAACAATTCTTCTGCAAATTTCCTCTTGGGAGAGAGAGTGAGAGATTTTTTGGAGAGTGTTTGGGTGTGAGGATTGAGAGATCTTGCAAGTGGAATTTATGAAAGGGTTCATAAGGTTGCCCAAAGGTAAGGATATTTTTATATGTTCTTTAAATCTCTTTTCTACTTCTTTGAAGACTCTAAAGGGAAGATCTTTGAAGATGATCTGGTAATATGCCATCACAAGGAGGGTGAGAAAGGACATCAGCACTCTGCTTTCACTAGGAGAGTGAGAAAGGACGTTGGCACTTTGCCGTCACCAGGAGGGTGAGAAAGGATGTTGTTACTCTACCATCACTAAGAGGGTTAGAAAGGATGTCAGTATTCTTTCACACCAGGGTTTGTGGTAGAGAGGTTATTGTAAGGGCTTCTCCTCTTTGCTGTAAGATAAAAAGGAGAGCCACTTTGGTATTGTATAATACCTGAAGAAGGAGTCTTCAGGTAGTGGATGTAGGTTTAGTTAGACCTAACCGCTATAAAATTATGTGTTCTTCTATCTTTATTTTTACTTCTTTTTTATTTTCTACACATTTACTTTTACTTATTAAAATATTATTTTAAAAAGTTTAT